TGCTGAGATTGAAAGCAGAGAGCATTTCGTGCCTCAGCACTGGAGCAACAGGCACTGAATAAGCAGGGCACATCTCTGAATGTGCCTTCCCACTGAGTTCCTTTTGGGGGTGGAAATCTGCTGCTTCATGCAGGGAAAAGTTATGTAGACATGCTGTGTTTTGGTGCCTGATTTTGTGCAAAACATGGGTATCTTTCCTGCCTGGTCTCTTTTCATTCTTTTTGTTGTCAGTCATTGCACATGTCATCAGTGTCTGTGGAAAAGAAGCACAGTCAGGACACAAGCCTGCTGCAGCCCCCAGTGTGTGAAAAGCAACATTAGCTTAAAAATTTTCACATGAGAACTGGTGGTGATTGATGGGACATACGGTGCAGTCATTAAAACCAGAAACTTGTCTGCTCTGGAACCCCTCACTGGTGTCCAGGATTAAAGAGACCGTAACAAACAGCATTACTAGTGCAAATGTGGGCAAGTCTTGGGTTTGTGCTGAGAGCCTTGTTTCTGCAGCACAGTTCAGCTCGCTTCAGCAGCCAGCAAGAAGAGAATTTGTGCAGCCTGCTTAGGGTAGGTTCATTCAGCTTGGTACAGTATTTTGCATCCCTCCGAGCTGGGTGCAGATGACAAGGTGCAGCCCAGCAGACTCCAAACAGCCAGGTGCAATGCAGGTTTTTCTACTGGATTTAAGTGTGATGCCATCAGTGCTGCACTTAAAACAGCTGGCTTTGTTGCACTGCAAGCTGCTGTCATGTTAGCTAGTGTCAGATGCCAGCCATTTACGGTATGCGCCATCACGGCATGACTTAAGTTGGCAACACAGAGTCAATCACATGCCAGCAGCCTACTGTAAGGGTGGGGGAGTGTGTGGGAAGAAAGGGGGAGAAGATACTCTTGTAAAATATTTTAATGATTTATTTTTAATATCCATTTTTCAAGCCTTGGTAAGTGCAGTCCATATGCTTTTCCCTCCTGGCTGTAGTTGGCAAAGCAGCTGATGAATATGGTCCTTCAGACTCCTTCTGTTTTGCAGGGAGCCAGAAAATACAGCTATATTTAGCATGTTACCAAGGCCAGCAGCGGAGTCTGCTGCCGGGTGGTGATTCCCTGGCTGCAGGCTTGCTTGCTACCTGAGGCAGGGTGGGAATGTGCCTTCCCTGGAGTCGATACTCATGCTAAATCAAGGCAACAAGCTCCTCCAATTACAACAGGATGGCTGCACCGGTCCCAGCAGGCTCAGCACACCACTTGCTGACACAGGTCAGTCTCTGAGCACCGTGCCCCTTGACACATGCAGTGACCCACTCCGGGTGCTAGGGTGGTGTTTTTTGGTGCAAAATTCAGCTTGGAGAGTGTCTCAGCAGGTCTCTGTGCAGGGCACTTGGATTGTCCTTTGCCGTGTGCTGAGCATTCAATGTGCTGGAGCCACAGCTAGGTACTGCAGCAGAACTGTGCCTTTTAGCATGAAGATGGTAATCTGAAACTTAGGGGCCTGACTCCTGTTCTATTTTCTCGTATTGTATTCCTAGGCCACCCAGGTATAAAATGGAGTTGTCCTTATTTGTCCCCAGCCCAGTATCCACACAGCAGATTTGCTACTAGTTCCCTGTTGTTTTCCCTGCTGTGTTGCAGCTGGTACTGAGAAGTGAATAATGGCGATTCCTTTGTCCTTCTGGCAGCTTTCGTAGAGCTGAAATTGGTCTTGAAGAGTGTGTGTGTTGCTGAGAAGTACTGAGAACTGTGGGGGTTGTGATGTAAGTGCAGAAGGGATGACCCCTACCAGTGAATTCAGAGGATGCTAGAGGTGCCCATCACTTTAGAGCAAAACATCTTGAAAGTTGTTTAATAGCTGGATGTCTAAACTGGGAACATTTTGTATCACTCTCAGTCATGTAATCAGTTCCTGAAATTCATTTTCTGAGGGATGAAAAACCTGCTGTGGTGTTGGAGAGGGCAACCTGACTTGGCTGTGGCTTCTAGCCCATCCTGATGAAGCACAGTGGTTGATGATGCTCAGGATCAAAATGGTGGCGAGGAGGAGCTAGACTGAAGGTGTGGTTTTGATTCCGAGTGCAGCAGTGATTCATTTAGTCTTCCTGGAGCCCTGGAAGGGCTGACTGACAGCTGTGCTGCACTTCACAGCCTTCGCTCTGCAGCTGCATCTGCACAGCTCTCAGTTCCTTGCAAATACATGTCCCCATTGAAACCGGTAGCACTCTGTGTGGACACTGGTTTCTGCTCACAGCTCTGTCTGCACGATCAAGGCCTCGTGTTGTATGGGGTTTTTTTTTGTTGGTAATGAAAACATTCTGTTTGTAGAACCCCCTGTTGGAATTAAACAAACTCTGTTTTGAAAAAAAAGTAGAACAAAGCTTCACACCAAGCTGGGGTGGCTGGTACCGATGACATGCAGAATTTCAGTTGGAATAGCAAAGTCACTTTCAAGTTGAAGAAGGCCCTGTCAGTATTGTTTACACAAAATAGTGGCCCTTTTTCATCTTCTCCATTCCTGCAGTGTAGAAACATCTACACAGATTTGTTCCAAATTTGGTAGGAATTAATTTTTCCCAACCCAAAGTACTTCTGCCAAGGTTCAACCAGGGGGAATTTCTAAGACTGGTGTGTAAGCCCTCGAAGGCTGGAGCTTAGAATAGAGCAGCTCCTGGCCATTGACAACCCACTGCTCTGTGGGGTCTGCTCCTGGTCTGCAGCAATCTGAGAAGCCCCACAGAAGTTGTGGAGGTGGGACGCTGCAGGTATGCTGTGAGCCTGAATGCTGGACTCTTGTTGGGCCCTAAGTGATGGGAAGGGCTGTGGAGGGCCTTAGTCACGCACAGCTGGAAAGGTGTCATGAGAACGATGAACCAAACCTACCTAGTGCTGATGGGTCTCCTTCTCCTTCCAGATTAATGCAGTTATTTACTTTGTAGTGCTGGGTCACCTGAGCACCAGCCAGCTGCATGGTGCCATTTTCCCCTTGCTTTACACAGATGTAAGAAAGTGTCTGGTGATGAAGATTCATGTCCTTGGGGCCTGTGAGCGATTAACTCACTGCTGGGGGTCTGGGGCTGTTGGATTGCTGGGAAGCCAAAACAATAGCATTAAAAAGCCTCTTTTCCAGTTGAGTTGTCAGGAGCCATTGGGCTCTTCTAGGAGCAGGGCAGAAAGTTTCATTCCACAAAGGCAGGCTGATGAAATTTGTGAGTGTTTTTTCCTGTCCCAGTGGTTTAGCCCCTTGTATTTGGTTATTTGCTTCTAAATTACAACAGGGAGCCAGGAGTTTTGTTTAACTATCTGATCTCCTTGGAGCAGATAAGAGAAGCCAGTTTCACAGGATGCTCCATCATACAGCCCCTTTCACACGCAGAGGGGCTCTTTCCCCAGTGAAACTGTTACCCCCACCAGGAAAGGGGGCAGAGGAAGGACACATAAAGCTTGCAGATCTTTGACTGTTCTCTGGTGATCTGCACCTCTCTTGGCATGCTGAGGAGCCTGGCTGGGGGTTCAAAAGCAGCCCCTGCAGTGGGTCACGATGTTGGTCTTGTGTAGTGGTACCCACCCAGACTGTCCCGTGATCCCACCCGAACGTCTGCACAGGCAGAGACAGGTCTTAAAAATCCCCAGGGGAGCATCCTGGATGCAGGCAGGGGCCCATCCCTGGGGGTTTCCACCAGTTTGTGCCCTGGGTGCAGTGGGGTGTAGCGGGTGTACCCGTGCGGACCTGGTTGTAGTGTAACAGCTCTGCTGCATGTGATCCTGCCAACAGGAGCAGGTATGTGGGGTCACCCAATGTGCCCCTTTTTTGAAAGTGAACTTAATTATATTGAGACTGAGAACTCCGTGTCCAGCCCTTGACTAGAGTGCCAGGGACAGGCTACGCAGTGGATGGTCCTGCTCCTTTGCTGGCTGCAGGAGCAATTATTCGTTATCTGCCATGCAACAGTGCTGTGGTGCCCAGGCCTAGCTTTGTTTTATTAGGCTCTGGATAGCTACTGAAGAGTTACTTCCTAAAAAAATTTCACCATAAGTTATTTATAAAAATTATGCATAAAGTTGCATAAAATGTTTCTTGTATTCTGCATGCTTCTGTTTCTTGAGGAGGAAATACACAGAGAAAGAGAAGAACCCTATTTTTCAGGAGTTATTTAATCTTAATGACAAAATTTGGTACTAGTTTTCTGTGTTGAGTGGACTATTGGTATTTATCTCCCTATGTCTACTTGCAAACACTGTTAAAGCAAGGCAGAGTTTATAGATGTTGTTAAAAAGTGATGGTCTTGGTTGATTTGAGGTGATTTTTAACTTTAGAGTTCCTTTGCTTTTTGGGAACCCCTGGCTTCCCTAGTGCTATGTTTATTTGGGGAGAGGAAGGGGAAAAGTAGTCAGTGGTGCAACATACTGTGGCTTTTAACAAATGAAAGCAGGAAGGGTAAATTGTTTCAGTTCTTTCTCCTTTGACTACCAGTTCTCGGCATCTCAGTACATGCATGCTGAAGATCAGAGGTGCGGCTTTGCAGAGCTGTGCTCTTACTGTTTTACCCAATACAGCTGGAGAAGTGATGGAGACAGTTTTGTTTCTCACTGTCTGGTTGCCAGGGCCAGTTAAGTGGCTTGATGTTTGAAGGGAGGGGAAAAACAACCCACACAAGAAAATGGGAAATTTTTTGTTGTTTCTGGAACTGCTGCCACTAGCTTCTGAAAATACTGGTATTTCTGTTACTTTTTTTTTTTTTCTTTACAACTGTCATTTTAACATCAGGAAGCCCAACTTTTGGGTTTAACTTGATAGTATTTGATGAGTGTCACTGCAGGAGAAGTCATGCTGCTCTTCTTTTCACCTAAGTATTACACTGCTGTAGAAAAATCACAAAAGAGACACAGTAGCTACCAAACTGCCTCTGTCTAGGTGATTCTGTTGTTACAGTAACCCAAACAATCCTTAATTAAATTTCCCTGGCTGCCCGAGTGTTACATTCACTGAAATGCTGTTTCATTATGTTTTTTAGGGCCGGTGTACCCGAGAGAACTGCAAATATCTCCACCCTCCCCCACACTTAAAAACACAACTTGAAATAAATGGACGCAACAACCTGATCCAGCAGAAGACAGCCGCAGCCATGTTTGCTCAGCAAATGCAGTTCATGCTACCAGGCGCGCAGCTACAGCCAATTGTAAGTTACAGCAATGAATTGGGTTCACGGGCTCCGCATTTCTTTCCTGTTTACTTACAGAGGCCCCAGTGCTGTGCTTTTGCTCAGGTGGTTGTTCATGCTGCACGAAGTTGGGCAGCATCTTCTAGAGGGATGTCTGATGCTACCTCTGCATCTTCTTGCAAGCTGTGGCTCCCATTTCCTCTGATAACTAAGGAGCTGCAAGATTCAGGGCATCAAGTGGAAGGGTCTTAGCACCGGGTGATTCATGCACATCCCAGAAGTCCTCGGTGGCTCAATTCCAATGGATCCTATTTTGGATAGCTGTTTTACAATGGTGTGAGGATGCTGGAGTTGTTCCAGGTTTTCAGGCTGGAGAACCCTGTTATGCCAGGGAAAGGATGGCTTGTGTGTGCTGGTTGGTGTATCTGAGACGGGGTGACATTTGTCATCTGAGTCTGTCACTATGTTTATTTTAAGAAATGTCAGAGGTCTTGAAGCAGCTTTTTGGTGCTGACATAAATAAGCTGCGCATTTTAAACCAAAAGCCTAATTAGGAGTTCTCCATTTAAAGTTGGGGCTGAATATCTTTCCTGGGGCAATGTGCACGTGGTGTGCAGTTGTTGGGTGAGGTTCCCTGTGCTGTGCCACACGGGAGGTCTGGCTGGATCCCTAGGACAGACTCTTCCAGCCTCAAGATGTACGAGACTGTGAACCAGCCTGCACTTGGCCTCCTGGTGTCCCACCTACAGGGCCTGGCTTCTTTGCCCAGATGAGGCTTCAGACTCAGCAGCTGTCACCCCAGCTTTGAAATGCTCAGATGTCTCTGGTTTATCCTCACAAGAGACTGGTGAAGGAAGGAAAAGCCTTGTTGGAGGCTGTTGAGCTGTTTGGTGTAAGAGCTTGTGACGGAGCTGT